ACTCCCCTCTGTCACATCTGTTCGTATCACCTGGTAGGGAATCTCGAGTCCCAGTACCTATTTTCTTTACAAAAGTCCATCACCTGGTCTCCATGAAAAGCCCAAACTTTTGTGGGACCCCCAAAAACTGCATAGCCTCCCTTTTGCCAGCTCTCCAGTAGGAGACAGCTAACAAATCTTATCCCCGAGTTTTGGCTGCTTAAACAAGACTTGACTCTCCTAATTAGCCTTTTATCTGATGATCTTGAAGTACTTTCCAAACCATTAAGTCCTCCAAAACCTGTGTGAGGGAGATAGATGGTAATATACCCATTTTACAGGCGGGAGAATAAAGCACAGCCAAACTAAGCTATTAGCTCAAAGTCCCCCCAGTAGCTGAGAGTTCTATTCAGAATTCATTAATCCTTTTATTCTAAGCACGAGTCTATATTTCTCCCTTTACGATATACCGCTGCGTGGAGGCAACAAAATTTCCTCCGTGACCTCTTCCTTGCCAAAACTTTTGCTTCAGCTCTTGGGAAAGAAATCCCAACTTTTCTTCTGTCTGTCTCAGGAGTAAAAGGTTGGTTTTTTTTTTTTTTTATTACATCGTAGGCTAATTAGGACCTTGTCTTTTACTCCAAAAGGCAAAGCCAACTTAGAGAAGGATCTCAAATGTCTCATGCTCTATATCTAAAACCTAAACTGAAATAAAGGGAATTCCTTACTTGAGGGGTGGGGGATGCTATAGACCCTAACATAATTGCAGAGGAGTAGTGAATACATTTATTCTGTGTTCCATTAAGAGCACTACATCTACACTAATTATTTCTCTAATCATATTGACCTGATTGAATGCATGAGCACGTGTTACCTTTTGGATCTCTATCTTGGTAGGTTACTGGTGCTTTGCCTAGATGTTGCATGCAGTCAAAAGGGTAACACTAATTTGTTGTTAAATATTCTCCCACCAATTCCACCAAGTATTTCACCTGCCGAGCAGGAATTCCAATTGCTGTTTGCCGCTGCCAGCAAAGCTGACACCTGTAATACTAATTTTTAAGTTACTTCACTGAGTCATGGTGACAAACTCAATTGCTCTTGTGCTTAGATGCAGCTTAAAGTTTGTAATGTACTCTGCTATGACTTGAATATATATTAGCCATAGTGATTGATTGATAGAAATTTCATTGCTCATTGAGATTGTTAGAATTGATGGAAAGTTTAGGCTGGTGCTTTTTTACTCAGAAGAGCCATATTCTCTAGTTGTCTGAGGTACAACATATTTTTCTCCTAGTAGGAATAGATCCAAATTTCTGCTTGATTCCAAATAATGTATTTAATGGAAAAGTCAGTGGATAGTCTTACTGCCATTGTGAGACCTACAAAACCAGTTGTTCCCTCTACTGGATCTATAGAAACTTCCCTGTTCCCTGAACTGCGTAACTATTACGTTCATTGTTGTTCCATTAGCAACAGATGAGAAAACAGACTGCCAAATGAAAAAAAGGGGGTAATTACGGGTGGGGAGAAAAGAGGCAATGTTATTTCCAGCTGCTAAAATGGTACTAACAAACAGTGGAGACAAAAATGTTGCAAATGAGTCAACTGTATCCTTTTTCAGAGCTGTTTAAACTTGCTAAAATGTGTCCGTTTTATTAAATTAACGTGGTTTATAATAAAATGCTGTTGAAATTTAATTCAGGCTTAAAGGGCTACTGTGCATACATGCATAACCCATTGACTGTAGGCCTCAAGCTTTCGGGTATGTGGGATTTTCCCCACTAATTAATGAGATAATTATCTTTTGGTGAGGTCTCTCTCCCTGGTTTAGTGTGAAGCAACACATCAAGACAAAGAATAGTAATCTCCCAGGGAATTGTTTCCAATTGGCAAAGGATAAATTGTAAGTAATGTAAGTGCTTCAACATATGGGACGTGAGTGTTTCAAAAACCAATAACGAGAGCATGCACTAAATAGTATATCTTATTCAGGAGCATCAGGAATTTCACATTTCCTTACCATGTCTTTTTTGTCTGTCATGTGATGTCGTATTTGAATGTGGATGAAACGATGAAAATACCAACTTGATTGTCAGAATTGGTAATGCAATTGTTTCTTTCTCCCCCTCCTCCCTAGGCCTACGGACATGAAATGGTTAAGAGTAGATGATGAGATGCCTCAACACGTTGTAGTGTCGGGTTCAAACCTTCTCATTAGTAACCTAAACAAAACAGATAATGGTACATACCGGTGTGAGGCTTCAAATTCGGTGGGAAAATCATATGCGGATTACATGCTGTTTGTATACGGTACGTGAGAAAAAAATGCCATTCTACTAGACTCATTTACACATAATTGCTACATACCAGTAACTAAAAGCTTTTGAAAAAGTAAACATTTTGCTTAATGCTGGAATGTCTGATAACATCCAATGCATCCTTTCATTATATTAGGAGGTGCTGGGAAAGCATTTCCTTCCCTCTTTTCCCTGATGCTAGCCTCCGATGCAGAGCCTCTTACATTCAAAGTCTAGTAAGTGACTACTCCTCGGAGCTGTCATTGGAAGCTTGCTGCGGAGGTGGGATGTATTGCACGATGCGGTACAGCAAAAAGTCAAGGCCGAATTTGAAGAGGGTGCGGGAGGTGCTGATGGAGGTGGGGGGCTTGACTCGTTCTCTCTGACAGCCCTGAATATTGTAGGACTACTCCCTAGTTTATTCCCCCACGGTGTCTTATCTAATCTCTCGTGCGATATCTGCAGCAGTGGTACTGAATATTTTTTTCTCTCCACTCTGTTTTTAGCAAGTTAAATTACTGAAGAATCAGTGAGCATATCCAGATAATTACAAACCAGTAAATAAGCTGGAGGAATGAGATGTCTTAAACATATCCATGGCTGCCAAACAGATACTAAAACATGCCTCAGCATCCTTTTTTTTAAAGTGCTATTAAGTATCTACTCTAATTCTTCAGTTCCTCTGCATTATTTCACCATCACTTTAATCCCTGTTGTGCTCTTGTTATGGAGGTCGGGCATATAATGAAGATTCAGTAGACACTTGAAGAATGATCCTCAGTCTAATTATGAACAATTCCCTACGGCTACATGCGTAAGGCTGGTTCTTGAGGGAGACTTAAGATGCATGGTTTTTTTTCCTGCTCTATATAAACCCTGGCACCTGTAGTGCATGCAGGTGGTGTGGATAGACGGAAAGTCCAGCAGGAGAGCCAATGGTAATCAAGCCTGACTCCCTACAAATCCCCTTTGAGTTCTCGCAAGTATTGATAAGTGCTGACATTTGAATGACTACAATTCAGGTTGTATTGCTTATAATTTTGGAAGCCTGCTCTGGTTTGAAACGTGCTCCACGTGACCCCCGCTTAGAACAGTACAGCTAAAGTCTCTGGTGCTGAGACAGGTCAGACAGTTTGATTGTCTAACATCTGACTTGTATGGCCACATATTGCTTCACACTCATGTTTTAGTCCTTTCCAAAGGGAGCCCCACCCCCTTTAGAAATGTATATACTGATCATATCCAGTATTTTCCCCTACAGTGCAAATGAAGACCTCCGCTTTTAAAATGAACGTTAACTTAATAAGAGACACAACCAGGGATGCTGGAACAATTTCGATGCTGGGATCCATGAACTCAAACTGTTTCCTGTATATAATGGAAGCACCCCCTGATTTGAAGTGGTTCCCATTATATAAAGGAAACAGTTTGAGTCCATGGATCCCAGCATCGAAATATCCCACAATGATATTTCAGAGTAATTTCTCTATGGGGGGGATGGCAGGGTCATTCATACTGAAGTTTCTCCATTAGGGCAATAGTGAAATGACCTTGCAGCCCTAGAAGGAATCAACTCTCCAGACTAAATAACGACATGGGAACATGTGAAGCAAAACATGCTCATTTCTTCAGTGCTATCGCACCTCCTCTGTATAAGTATCAGAGGGGTAGCTGTGTTAGTCTGAATCTGCATAAACGATGAGAGGTCCCGTGGCACTTTACAGATTAACAGATTTATTGAAGCATAAGCTTTCGTGGCAAAGACCCATGTCGTCAGATGCATCTGATGCAACAGGACTTCTCATTGTTTCTCCTCTGTACAGGATTCCTTGGATCGCTGCATAGACTACCTGTCCCATAAACAAGGATTTTAAACAAACCTTAACTTGTCTCAGTCCAGTTCCTAATGGGCTTATCTTGGGAACAGCCATCAATGGCTCTAGCTGGAATCTCTGGCCTTTTCAGACCAAGGATTCCGTCTCCTCTAGGAACTGAACCCCCTTCTGAGTGTGAGATGGGGCCTAATAGTGACATTTTCAGAGCTCATGTTAGCACACACCATTGTGGATTTTGCTGTGTGAAGATGTTCAGGGGCCAGGGCTGTCAGTGATGTATCAAATTCACAGGAAAAGACTGCAATTTAGTTATTTTAACAGGAATTCCAATTTCCCAGGATGTTTAACCTGTGCACGTGGTGCAGACATACGACAGCTGTGTAGCTTGTGTGGTCTGTCGGGGTCCGTGGTGAAGTAACTGGCCTATATCCCATCATGTTGAGATTCTGTAAAATCAGGATTGCTTCAGTAGGGCTCGTTAGCTTAGATCAGTGTTCCTTAAACGTTTTAAGACTGAGGAACACCAAAAATAACTTTTTTATGAGGAACACCAAGACTTTTTTGTTGAGGAAAAAAGAAAAGTCACCTGCCCCTTTAAGAGCGGCCATTTTGAATTCACTTGTTCTCTGCGGCACACCTCTGACTGCCTTGCAACACACCGGTGTGCTGCGGAACACAGTTTAAGAAGCACTGGCCTAGATTGTATAAGGAAGTTCCTTGATGCTATACCCATTCGGCCCAGAAATTCAGAGCAGTTGGTCTCATGGGAGTGGATTGCTCAGTGTTCCCTTCTTTAGTGCACTGGAGCGCACTCTGACCCAACTCAGCATTACAGAATAAAAATACAGTGCTGTGTCCTGTGTGGGAATGAATCGACAAAGGAGCGCACTTCTTCATAAAGCGTTCATGCCTCATATGCCATCACCACCTTGGATCTCTTTTCTCTGCATCTGGCCTATGGGAATAGAATCTACCAGCCTAGTGCAAAAATGCATTCAAAGGTTTCCGTACTGCTAGCCTCTCTGCCTGTTCCATGGATAGGTAGGACTTTCTTTCCAGGTCTGTCAATCCTGGGACTTTGCCCCAGCATCAAATTGACCTTGAGTGAGAATATGAAAATAGGGTGATAAGCCTATCAAAATCACAATAGAGTGTAAACACTGGAGCTGTGACTATCTGACATGTCTGCTCTATTCCACCTCGTCAGGATTCAGCTCCTTATAAAGTTAATATCCATGCATGTTTAAATAGCATTACGTCAAAGAGACTTCCGGCAGTAAGAACCTGCAAAGTGATAGCTGCTGAGTTGTCCTTGCCACCCCTTTCTGCTGACTTGTTACAAAGACGTTGAATCACATACAAGATAATACAAACTGAAAATGTTGTTGCCTAAAAATTGATTTCACAGGGTGCATGACCGGACACATTTCCCGGAATCTCTACTGTGATTAGCGCATGAGACTAGACAGTCGTCTCTCCCAATCAGTAGGGACAAAACTGTCAGTAGCAGTTTCCCCCGGAGGAGACAGTGAAACAAAATTCAGTTGGTTCTCGTCCTCAGTGACAAAGGTTGATGATTTTCTTCTCCTGCTTTGCTCTGTCTCCACTGGTAATAAAGCAACATCAGTGTAGTACCTTGTCAGCCTTTCCCATATTATGTGGATGGTGAAGAAGCTGTCTAATAAAGATATGAACCCAGATACTGCAGCTGCAAGAGAAGGACAAAATGTTTAAAGACGTTCTTCATGAATGATCATTTTCCTTTAGCAGACTTCACAATGAAGCTTACTCCAAGGTAATGTTTCTTAGCTTTCAGGAAGTGGTACTGAACACAATAAAGGTGTAGCATATAATTAAGGCTTGGATGTATTAATTAGGGAATTTGAGAGCTCACTTGGAGATAAAAGAGTAGCAGATGTGTCAGTGATGAAAAGTTGACATGCTTTAGATAAAATTTAAAATCAAAAGCCTATGAACCGTTTCATGCTCTATTATTGCAGAATGATTCCTTAGTTCAAAGTCTTGCTGACTACTTAACACATTCAGTTTGATCATTTTTGGGGGCATTGATATACATATCCTTTTTTTTTTCTTTCTCATCTTTTCTCATCTTTCCTCCTTCCCAAATAACTTTTGTGAAGATATGGCACTCTATGTGGCATAAATATTTTATGCTGTATATCCTAGCACATTTAGATGGCTTTAACAGGTCAAGTGTCTTCTATAAATTCTTGTGAACGAAGAAAAAAAATCTTTGGTTTTTCTGATTTTTCTCATCCAGGATGTGATATTAACAAAAGCTAGGGCTGCATTAAAATATTGATATTTATCAGTCACAGAGATATTGATTTATTTTTTAAAAAGTCTCAATAAAATCGTGCATGCTTTGAACTTGATATTTAATAGTGACATTCTCATTTCTTTGTATTTATTACTCGCTTAGAAGTAGCTTTACATCCTGCGGAGATGTATTGATGGAGGAAGAATAATGAAGTTAACAGTTCTGGAAAAAGAGAATGAGAGAGACTCATCTGCTGTGGATATTTAGTCTGTTAACAGCAGCAGGAA